TGTGTTTTTTCTGTAACTAGTTAAGAAACTCTATAAACACATTTTTTAACAAACTGATCTCTGCAAACATGATCAGGTTTTTATGTGCAGCTCTAAATAAAATACCTGCAGGAGAGGGAACAGTGACTGCAGCTTTCTAAGACAGCTATCCTGAAAATGGCTCTGCATCGTTCTTTTCCTTATGAGCAGTACCCATGGCCTTGGGTCTTCGGCGTGCCGGCTTCACTCAGGATGGCCCTGGAGCAGGGAGCTTGGGCAGCTCAGGTGGGAATTGGTGAGAGGAGGTAGAGCTCCAGGCGAAAACACGATGTCCTGCCCAAACCTCTCCATGGCTAGGGCAAGGAGTTGCTACTGGCTGCCATTGGCGGTGTGGTAGCTCTCACCCTGAGCTGTGTGCAAACGCACAGGAAAAAGCTGATTGTGGCTTCACGAAGCTTAAACTTTAAAAAAAAGATGTCTGCAGTTGTTATTGTTCACGCCACAACGGCCATCCAACTCCAAACACCTTGATCCACATGAAAGGGGCAGGGGAGGCTTTCCTGCTAACAGCTATAGCCTTTAACAAATGCTCCAGGAGGAAGGCAGTGTACGGCAGCTAAGGAGGAATGAAATACAGTGTCTCCTGCGAAAAAACCATGGCCTCTTGCACTTTACAGTTTTCAAAGTAGTCTCAAGCTTCAGGATGAAGTAAATCCTTTCTTTGCTCTTAAAGAATTGTCCTTCTGCAGCCCTAGAATTTTCCTGTAGGCAAATCCTAGACTTATTTCAAGATACCTACTTTCAGGTATACTCTACTTATGCCTTATAATTTTATTTGCAGATATTTGAATGACCTAAAGTATTCATTTCTGGCTTGATCTACAAGTGCATATGCGCATCACCTTTATTATGTTTTCTCCCTGGAAGTTTTCCTGGGGATAGTTGGTAGATTAGAGGTATTTGCTGCTAGCATACGACTTCCATGTAGTAGAAGACTCCTTGACACGCCCTACAGTTACCGTGTTTGCTAGGGACATAGCTTGTACTGACACCTGCATAGCTTCTGTTTTCTCTTATTCTTTACAGCTGCTTTCCCTTTCTGTCTGTTTTGGATGTGCGTGTGAAACATGAAACTATGAATCTTTCTACAGTTTTCTGTCTCAAAACAAAGGTGGATTCCATTTGTCCAGGGAAGTGGAAGGAGCCCCAGCTTGTGCTCATTCTTCTCTGCCATTTGGCCCTTCACATTGGTCCCCTGCTGAAGGCTGTGGAATTAGAGGGAGGAGAGCAGCGCCCAGTGCCTGCACTTCGGTCTGCGCTTCTCCCAGCCTGGTTGTGCTGCAGGGAACTGGCAGGGGTTTAATTAAAGATGCAGAGGTGTCGTGGCGGGTTTTTTTTAAGTGATTCATTTCTGTCCTGTAAGTTTTGTTTGCTAGTGGAAATTACTCTTTTTTTCTTTTTTAAAAGAGACTTGACCAATAAAAATGTTACTAGCTATGTAGAAAAAAATGCTTTTCTTGCACACAGAGAATTCTGACCATAAAGACACTGAGTTATAGAAATGCAATGTCTTGCCCTTTTGTCTTGTGCTTTGTCTCCAAGTGTGGCCACTGCTCTGCGCCTCAGAGAGTCCCACTGGGATTCCCAAAAGGGCAATTAGAAGAATAACCTGCTCTCTATTTCAGGGAATGGCAGATTATTCGAGGCTTTACCTCTCTTCAACCTGTCAAAGGCTTTACTGTCTTCTGCTAACCTGATGCTACTTGCTTTTCTTCCTGTGTGTATCCAGTTTATTAATTTTCCATTCTACAAAGTCTTACTGATAGTTTGCAACAGTTAAGTTTCATGAATTGTTTGTTGTTGTTTTTTGATAAAGATAGCATTTCCTTTCCTCGGTTTAAGCATGCTGCTCTTTTAATTGCGCTGATGGGATGATGGCTGTTTCTGTGTTTATCTCTACCCCATTATTTTTGCATATTCATGGTGTGCTTATTAGTTGAGGCCGCTCTAGACTAAGAGATAATCTCTTCATAATGATGGCTCTTATTTAAGTTGATGTTGTCAATTTAAGCTCTAAAAATACAGGAGCATGTTTTGGATCATTCTTTCTGTTGTACATTACCATACATTTGTGAACCGCGTCTTTCATCTGCTGTCGTGTGCTGTCTGTACTGACTGGGGTGTTGGTCTCCGAAGCTCTTCCAGCCACCTCCAACACAGACACAGCTCAGGAGTGCATCTTCAGTCAGCTCCCATGCCTCGCTGTTCACCTCGTGGTCAGCGTATGTTTGGCTTTGGTAGGACTTCCAGATTTTAATCCTTTTTTATTAAGTTTACTGTTTGCTCACCTGAATATTTTATGATTAGTAACTGTGCAGTTAAAACCTCTACACCTGGCCTGAGGGCCAGGTGCATGTCCTGTTTCAGGGAAGGAGGAGAAGATGGAATATTTTGATCTTGTGAATTAGTACCTTTCACACCAGTTTTTAGCTTGGTTTGTTGTAAAAGACACAAAGGAACCCTTTGCTTTGACTCTTTCTGAAGCATAAATAACTTCTATGAAGGAGGTGTTTTCATTTTCATGATTCCTTTTTTTGTTGGGGTAGTATTTTATTCTGGGCACCACTTTCCTGGTGGCTGAGCGATGATGCATTTTTACTGTCGCATGGACAGATGGAAAAGGGAAAGGAGAAGAAATGGCTGAGTCTTTAATTAGCCGTGCAGAGCCAGAGCATGCTTTCCCAGTGCGTCGGGGGGTTTATATAGGGTGTGGAGACTCAGCCGCTCGATGGATCCAAATTAGCAAAATTGTGTATCCACCGACAGGGTGTTTCTATGGCAACTGTCTCTCAAATCATATATACAAACAGACCTGGCGGGGGGTATCGCCTTCTATTTGGTCTGTAGGAAACCATCGGAAAAGGGGTGTTTTCAGGCTGCAAAAAGACCTTGCGATGTAAATATTTTTTACTTTCTGGTGACTGGTATAAGTTTTGGGATCACTGCTCGATGCTGGCGTGGTTCCGAGTCCATTTGTGGTTTTGCATGTTGACTGGATGCTGTGACTCCTGCGATATGTGAGAGCGATCACCGAGAAACTTGTGCAGGGCTGCGAATGCACAGAGGTACCAGGCGCATCCTTTAGCTCATAAACATCTCGCCACCGCACATAATTGACAGCCGATCTACAGCCGTGCAGGTAAACTGTGTAAAACATGGCTTTCCTGCTGTGTGAACCATTTCACTTATTCATTTCTTCTCCCCTCATTCTTCTTCATAAAGCAACAGAAATCTAGAGACTCTTCTCTCAACAGTGTACCTGGTGAATTAAGGGAAATGATCAACCTGATCGAATTAGCCGTGTAAGAACAGCCGAAGTGGCTGTGACTTCACTTAAGTGAATCACTAGAAAATTCTTTCTACATGTCTCTTTTTCTAGTAGAAAAAGCGAATGCATGATCCATTTAGCCTACTGCCCTCTTTTTGAAATGTAGGACAATTGTTATTTTTCACTCACCCGAAGTCAGGCACTACTAAAGCGGGGGTCATTTCAAATCAGATGTGGTTATTTCTTGTGGCCGTTGCTTCCATGAAGACTCCTTTATGTTTTGAGACAGATAAATGGGAGTTAGCAAGAGGCCTGTGCTAAATAATTTTTTTCACTTAGGAGTGTCTCAGATGTTCAGTGAGTGGCAAGGTGCATGACAATATTTGTCTAGAATACTTCCTAAGTTTGCCCAGTAGCTCCAAGGAGTAGTGCCTCTCTTTGTATTGGACGTGGCTTATGTAGTGGTCCCACAAGAATTTGTACACAAAAATGCTATGTAACATAAGACGTAGTATACCTGAGTGCACAATCTTTCCTATTGTAGAAGCTTATACATCTCTTTGGTGACAATTGCGTATTGTGCATAAATTACAGCACTGACAGAAATTTACTCAAACCTGTAGAATGCGAAAAACACGTTCATTTTTGTTTTCTCTTTTTATAACCAGGCATTTGCCGAAAGCTTAGTGTGATTTATTCTTTTCTTTTTAATGAATTGTTAAAAATGTTTGAAAAGGCATTAAATCTTCCTTTCTGCTATTAATCTGTAAAAGGGGAAGGGGATTTTAAATGGGCTCTTAGTATATTGCTTTATAAAACTGCTGATTCTAGCAACACCAGAATAGGAATACATACTAATGTAGGAAACACTGAAGGCAGTCAGAGCCTCGTGCATTTATGGAGGAAAAGACTAATAGCTCCATTTTAACAAGGCTCTTAACACTTTGATCCATCAGCAGGCATTGAGTGAGTGAAATTGGGAGAGCTCCTGTGTGCTAAAAGCATTGAAGTTCACTGTTTTGTACCCCAGTTGGAGCTTTCCTGACAGAACTGCACTCTTCAGCCAGCTCCGGTTGCCATCTTGAAAACAAACCAAGTAGTGAGCTGGCATTTTGACTGAGTGCACTAATGCTTCACTTTTGAAATGGCACCAGAGCATGATAAATGCACTTAGTCCCAGCTGGATACTTAGCTTTGCAGTGGCGTTTGGGGAAAGTTTCTAGATTTGTGTTAAGAATGAAAGCAAAGCCTGCTTATATCACATTTTACACTGAAGCAAAAGACACAAGTGGAGATAAAACAGCAAACTCGGTACCAAGATGCTAGCTTTGCTTCAAGTAGTTATGCCACTGGAATTAGAAGGGGTGTGCTTGATTAGATTACACTGTCACTTACTGAATTCTAGGAGGAAGGCCAGCCAGAGAAGGAGAAAGAGCATCCCAACTAGCACACAGACGAGGAAAAGGCTCTGAAGATTGTACCTATTCTAAAGAGTTCTTTGATATAGAAGCCTTTCTTGTTAGCAGTGATAAGATTATGCATGGGAGTTGGAGCTTCTTTGAGCCCCTGCCGTTCGTTTGTTGATTTTGGCATGTTGCAACATCATGTGTTGTCTGCTTATCGTTCTGAGATGCATTGTTAGTAGCTGGGCTGCATAATTGATCTTCATCTCTAATTACTCTCCTCTCCACAGGTGCCTGGAAAAGGTCCAGATGGGAGCTCATACAATCTCCACTTCGAGGGGATGGAAAGGCAGTACGCGTCCTTACCCAGGTACAGCACCGAGCCTCGTACACACACGCTCTAACGTCTGGCTCCAACATGAGAGATTATTTTGCAGTTCTGTCTTGTCACCTTTTGCTGCTGATTTAGTGCCATCTTTATAACCATACTATTAATTTGGACTTTTGGATTTTTAAAAAAAGGTTGCTTATTGAACACGGCAGCAAGACTCACGATCTGCAGGTAGAGAACATGACATTGAGAAAGCTGTCTCTGCAAGAGTTATAACGGGTCCTAGCAGGACATAAAGGACCAAGTTTATAGTGGTATAATCCTAGCTGGCATTGACAGAGTACTGCTGTGGAAAGCCTTCACTACAAGAGGCACAGCTACTGAAGTCCCACTGTTGCTGCAAGGAGTGTCTGACTAGCAGCCCAATTCCAGTAGAGCATCTCTGTACTTTAACTGAACACTGTGGAAATGAGAGTGAATTCTCTGAGGGCTTTTTTTAAATTAGTATTTTTAATCTTTATCAACTCAATGAAGAGTAATTCCAATCTGAAACCAGTAGGGCGTAACAAAAAGGAAGCATTTCAGAGATTCCACTCCTGTTTCTACAAGACTTCTAACAGCAGAGTGTAAGACTTAGCAAGCCAGCAAGGGAGCAAGAGGATGCTAGAAGAGATAGTGAGAAGCAGTATGAGGGAAAACAGGAATAGAAAACTATTTTCTCCCCTTAGAATTAGAGGGCTGCACAAGACCTTAGAGGGGTTATCAGGTCCACTTCTTGGACCTACAAGCAAGATAATTTGTAAAAGCAAAGTAAAAATAGGAATTTACAAGCAAGGAGAGATTCTTCATTGTGACAAAGTGCTGGCATTTAGGAAATCAGTGAATAGTTTCTTTTTGCTTCTTTTTCCTTTTCCACTGAACTATTTACCTTCAAAGATATCACTGGAGAGACTGATTGATAAATATGTAATGCTATGTCCAATTCCAGATGAAAATACAAAGAATATCTTATTTTTGGAAATCAATACATAAAGGCTGTCTCTCAAGACTTTGTTGGATGTTTGTAGACATGTTTCTTGTGTGTGGTTTCTAAACCAAAGGATGTGTCTTTAGTTGAGTTACTGCCTTTAATGGTATTTTTGTCAGCCATCATTTTGGAAATTCCTCCTCTGCAGTAACTGGCTTTTCTAACAGAAGTGTGCTTTCCAGTAGTGTGTCCTGTACGTATTTCCCGAGTGACTGTGGATATTCTTACTCTCCTGGGTAAAGAGCCATCTTTTTTCATAGTCCTCCAACAGTCATGTGTCCTGTCGTGTTTTTAGCAGTGATTTTTGCAGGTTAGTTAGGTGTAGTTTAATTATGCACACTGTTTTTTATCTATTTTAAACTTCAATTTTGTGGAGTATTCCTTGTGAATTACAAGAATAAATTAGCAATTCGTGCCCACTGTAACTCTCCACAGCGATTTTCATATTCCTGTATTCTGTCTCCTTTTATTTGTTTTCTGTTCAAGCTAATCAACCTTATTTCTTCATTCTTTAAAAAATGGATATTTCTCAGTGAAGTAGCTTCCGTCACCCAGAACTCTTTTTATCTCACTGGTATTCGTTTCAAGCAAGGATGACTAGAAATGAGCACAACAGTGCGGATGCAGACGTGTTCTCTGCATTCCTTCTGTCCTGTTCCTTTTCAAACCCACTGCATCCTTGGCATGTCCCCTAGGTGTGTGTACTGCTCACCTCTGCACCCTGCATTTTTGTGTGGTTGGTGTTTAAGAAGTAGATTTGTCTGAATCAGATCATGAATTTCACAGTGTTCTTCCCAAAATCCCCATTTAACTTGCCGGAAACATGACTCTGCAGTTCTTACGACAGGTTCAAGTATTGAGCTGGCTGCGACTCCCCGTTTAGGAAGTCGTCCAAACATTCAATAAGCTTTTGAAGATCGGTGTGAAGAGTGTTTTTTCTCTCAGCGCCCAACAAGATTATACTGCAGCGCGAGAGGGCTCGCACTTCAGCAGGGTTGTGTGTGCCTCCTGACCCAACGCTTGCACGGCCGCGCTCAGGCTGCGCCATCGCTGCATCTCCGGCAGGTTTCCATGCTGACAGGGGCAGAGCTTCAGGCCAGCCAAGCGCTGGGTGTGCCTGCAGTCCAGCAATCGGCCGCTGCTTTTTATACTTCGGTTTTGTAAGTTTTGCAGTTTCACGTTACTGCAGTAATTAAGCCCTGGCAGTCACAAATGACTAGATTGCGACAGTGAAGTCTAAATCCAGAAGAAGGGGATGCAGTCTTGTTGCCAGCCACTAATGGAAATGAGTGATTGCTTTTGTTCTCATGGCTGACTGCCCAGGAGTATAGAGGAATCCAGGTAAAAACCAGCCATTTGCCAGCCTGTTCTCGGTGGAGGATCCATGAATACTACTGTAATGGGCAACATTATTAAAAAAAAATATAAGAGAAAAAAATGAGAATATAAAAAGAAATACAGTGGTAGTATTTCCTCAAAGAGCAGCTTCCTTCTCCCACGTATTCTAGTATTAGTTTATGCTTTCCTGCTCTTGGGTTTATTCACCTTCTTGTTTTCTCCTGGCCTCATCTTGGTCAAACCACTGAGCTGCACTTGGTATGGACAAGGTATATAATCGTTTGCATACTTACCCATTTAAGTCCAATATAATAAGAGATATTCAGAGAGTCCTTCATGCAAGGACTGTAGATGCTGGCAAACAGATCCTTAGTGCAATATTGTGTTGAGTCCAGGAGCGTATGACCTTTGCCTGCTGCTCTGGTGTGGCACACACGAGGAAAGCAAGAAAAGTGCTTGGACTGCAGCCAGTTGCACTGGATGAGGAGGGAGGAGGGATCCGTGCCGTGTCAAGAGTAGCTGGGACCTACACAGTGCAACTGTTCGGCTTACCTGGAAGCTAGCAGGGGTCGTGGCAGCGCGTGTGGGCATGGAAAAAATTTATAAGAGAGCTTTAGTTTTCCTCTCCACTGAGCAGAAAGGAGGAGTGATCACCAGCCCGATAGCTTTATGAATGTCTTGTGCCCATAAGGCACTACCCCGTTGCTGGGCAAAGGCACACGTCCTGCACGAAGGGGAAGTCAGATTTCTGGCAGTGTCCAAACATACTTGCTGCTGGGTTGTAAAAAATTTGAGCTTTGAAACAGCGTTGCTGCTTTGCCCTTTTGTGTTGTATTTTTCTCTCTTTCTTTGAAGCTGCTAATTTAAGCCTAGGTATTATGAGCCAAATTCAGGTGATATAAGTCTGCGTTAAGTGTATTTGAGGAATCCAGCTGTGTCAAGCGTGCAGGCCTTTTCAGTAGATGCAGCAGCAGCAGACCCAGTGTCCCAATCTCAGAGCTCAGTGACGCCCTTTTTGCCTTTGAGTGGAGGATCTGTTTCTGCGTAAGGTTACCATTTTAATTAAAAACTGAAAACAGGAGGCTGCAGCGTTTGGAGGAAGGCTTTGTATGTGACTGGCTTAATGAGCAGCCAGCTGTGTTACGTAGTTAAGTTTCTAAGTAAAATAACGCCAGTCTGTAGGCTTGGTTTGGAAATGTCTGCGGAGGCAAACATCTGAATTGGATGATAAGTGGCTGTGGCAGGAGAGTGGCAGGTCTTCATCTCACACTGCATTGTGCTGTTCTGTCTGCAGAAAAGCAGCAAAGTGGGAAAGACAGAATGAAGGCTTTGCAAGAGAGATACAGGTCTTTGCACTCAATACTTACATGTTGCCCTGGGGCTAGGGCTAAGTAGTGCTGAGTAGTAGTATTAAGCAATGTTAAATCCTCCTACTTAGGAGGAGAATGGCTTGATTCTTATACCTCTTGCCCTCTTCTTTAGGAAAGAGGAGCAGGGCAGGGGTGTGGGAGCCAGAAAAACATTTGTGTTTTTTAAACTATTTTTAATGCCTGTTTTCTTTGGTATAATCCAGAATATTTTCCTAATGGAGCTATGGAACAGATATGAAGCTGAAGCTGCTCTGTTTGTTCATCATTTTATTTTTGAGCTTGCTTTTATGGAAGTCTCTCTTAATGTAAATCACAGTCTTGCCAGTGGCAGCCTTGTTTGGAGAAATCTCGTGTTTGAGGGCATATTCTTTTCTGTGTTGATGGAAAGGCTGACTGTGACCCAAAAGCAGGCTCATACACCAAGATGGGACACTGGTGACGTGATGAGCATAGATCAGAAAGCTCGGTCATCTTCCTGGTAAGAAATGCTGATTCCAAAGGAAAGCTAATACTGCAGACTTCCTCTGGAATCCTCATACTGTTGAAAAACATTTTTGTCAAGGAAAGAGGTGGGGCCGGACAGGCAGTAAGAGCATTAGAAAATAACTGCTGGCATGGAAAAATGAGTTCAGGCTTTGTAGATGATTTCAGCTGTATTGTTGTGGCTGGGAGGAGACCGCTGAGCAAACTGGTAACTGACTCACAGGAATATCTGTCTTAAATGTAACGTGCATCTGAAAACTGGGAAACCTGCAGATGCATTACGGAACTAGCCTTGCAGTACAGTGGCAGCATTAGTCTTGCACTGCTGGAAGCTTCTCTTCAGATTGACCATGCGACTTACACTTCTTAAGGCGGTAGCTAAAAGCAGCATATCCTCAATTTCTAGGTGAGAAGCCAGGAAGGACAATTTTGATCACCTTGCTTGAGGCCTCTGAGACTGTCTACATTTCTGCATCAAACTAAATTTCAATTTTGACCCATCGTATTACTTGTATAAATGTATTTACAAAAGCATCTAACCTAGAATTAAAATGTCATATTGTGAAGAATTCATTACATTCTTCAGAGGTTAATTATTTTACTGTTTAAAAAGATTATGCCTTTTTTTAATTCGCCTAAGTCTGAAATTATCCAATTTCAGTTTCTAAGTATTATGGTAAATATTTTTTCTTCTAGATTTTAAGAGCCAACCCTGCAAAACACCTCCCCTTCACTATTCCTCTGTATTTCAGTATTTTCATTTTCTATGTAGTAATCATTTGTGTTATCTTTAAATCTCCTTTTCAATAAGTTAAAGAAAT